CAAAAGAGATTCTTAATTGACAATAAATAAATTATTTAAAGATTTTTTCTGTGTTACAAGTTACGATTGTGTTGGTTAGAAGAATACAGTGAGAAGAACACAGGTTTGGTTCCTGACTTCTCGCTACACTCCAACCAGCGCATGAATTTGTTCAATCAGCAGCACCTGATTTAATTTAAGTACTGGATGGTAAATGCTGTGGAAACAGCTAAGCTAAAAAAAAATCCCACACAAAGCAATCATGGCATCATCTACATTGTTATTTAATAAGTACATAAAAATCTCATTACGAAGAGATAACTCAATAAACTTACCCTTGAGTACTGCATCTTGTCAACTATGTCATCGCTGGTGAGGGGTATGAGCCCTAAACACAAACAAGTCATTAAGGCTTCTGAGGACTTATTCTGCAGATGCACTGACTAAAGCACTGGGAAGAAACTGGAGGGGAATGAAACTGTACCCACCCACTCTGTGTGCGATGAACTCATCGTGGAGTACTGAAGAGTTGGCATCGATCTGAACCCAGTCGATTGCTGAGGGTACACGTTAAGTCAGATTGGAAAACACATTAAATACTGACAGTATCGGTGTCTATATATACAAGTGGCTGACAAATCAAAGGAAAAACCTGAATAAATGAATATAAAAACATATGTTCAGAGGTTTCCAGATAGGTGTACATTCAGCTGTGCTCTATTGGAGATTCTGGACTGAATCATCATCAAAACACCAAGTGAAGAAGCATCTTTTGGAAGAACGGTGCTCCATCCCTCCAGTACAGTGACAGAGACTTGGAGGATCTACACCAAGGGTGTCAAACTCAACCAGTAAAAGGGTCATATTAAAAAATTTTTAATTAATGTTGTGCTATAACCTGAACTGGCCATTGTATATTCATGGTTTATTCAAAATATGCAAAAACTAAAACGCAGACACTTGTGGTGAACCCTGAAATATTACATGGACACTTAAAATATTCAAAATTTAAATGTCCCCAGGTGCTCTGTCTTTTAAACCTACCTATTTGCTTAAACTAGACACCTGGCGTCCTTTCTTTGCTGCAAGTTCAATAATACTTGCGCTCAATTTCTGAGCTGCTGAGCTGACGTTAGGTGTTTGTGTTGGTTGAACTGCAGCTCAAATGCAGTTTGGTGATATGACTGGTGTGGAACTGTGTAGAATTGAGGTGTAACCACTGTCCCATAGACTGTCGTTGGGGTAGGAGAGTTGAAGCACATTACGTTGCAGTGCATGCTGGGGACTGTAGTGCAGCATATTGTGAAGCAGGCTGATATTAAGAGAATTTTAAAATACTTTTACGGGCCGGATAGGATTGTGTGGCGGGCCTGATCTGACCAGCGGGCCTTGTGTTTGACACATGGGATCTACACCAAGGTGCACTGAAGCTGTTCTGGCAGCTCGTGGTGGCTCAGCACCTTACAACAGTACTTCATGCTTTATCATTTGTCTGAGTATGTATTAAGCTACTCACCAATGGTGGGAACTTCTGACATGAACACACGTCGAATGGAGTTTGCAACCCTGTAATAAGAGAGTAGAACAGTGATTAATGGAACAGATACATGTTTTACCAGCACTATTATCGGCAATTATTAATGACGTTATAACGCTGCAGTTCCAACTAACCTCCTACCAGCATTCTCCAAGGCAAACCATTTGTTAAGCAGAATATTTACTGGGCTTTTTTATATACAAACAATGATGCCTGGCTGTATAATGTAAAAACCTGAATGATTTAATTGATTTAAAATCCATTTTGATAAACATTTTAAGTCACACACATATATGTTTTTCCCCTCTCACTACAACTTTTTTATACCTGTGCAAAACAACATTTTGTCTGTTTTGGTTCACATCTATACAGCTTACAAGGAAAACATTAAAAAGAATTACCAGTTAAAATTATAACAAAATAACAAGTAATGAGAAACACATTACACATTGCAGTAATGGAAATTAGGGTAAACAACTTTAAAATGTCGAAGTATGCTGTACCATGTAGAGCTCCAACTGAGCTGCTAGATAATACAAATATTTCTTAACTTTGTGAAGCTTATAACACTTAAATGCTTATAGCAGCGCTGGGCAATACGACACTATGGCACTATATCAAAAGCCTGTTTCATTATAAAGAGCAAAATTAATCCTGTTTAACTGGATTTGGTGCAACATGACAACCTGACAAATACTGAATAAAAATCATTATGTTCACAATTTTTGATGGTATTTTTGTAAATGTTTTTTTCTCCAACTGATCAGATGTCTGACAAAATAACCATCGTGACGTTTCATGTATTGCGAAAGTTTCTTTAAACCATGTTTTGAGGCAGTTCTCTTGAGAATGCCTCTTTTCGGAGAGGCAGATTTATAAAAACCCAGTAAAGAATTATCCCTAAAGCAGCTGTCCTGGTTCTACGATTCTTGAATAGTCATGAAACATTTAAAAGCCTGTTCAGAATCTAATTTAGTTACGAGGCTGAAGTTGGCGTTTTATTCATCAGCTTCTTGCTCGAATTTTCCAGTTCCACCTTAAATGGTGCAGCAGTTACACAGGGTGTCCCATCATTTGAGATGTGAGTATCTGAGTAACTACATGTCCTGGCAAACTAAATTAAACAGGCTTCATGCTGAACAATACAAGATTTATTTATCAAAATTCAAACAAGAAACAAGTAGATTTTATAACTGATTTCACAAAGCTTCACAAATGTAATATCTTCTGATACTGGTGGTCGTCCAGACCCCTTTGCGCTGCACAGACAGCCTTCCTCTTTGGATTTTTTGTGCCATGTTCAAATCTGCTTTCCAGTTGGTGCATTTTTATTGGATTTTCTCGAAAATGCTCGCTGCTCACTCCTGTTTGACTGTGTTTGAGCATATTCTAACACACTAAATGCCTTTTCATTTCTAGTGAACGACATTAAAAACATTTAAAATTAAACTTGGTTAGTTTTTACATTTTGTTAACATCTGAGATCATCTGAGGGAGAATTGGCTGTTATTAGACTACGAAATGATGTCACTTTTTTGGGGGACACCCTGTACTGTATAGGATGTGTAGAATGTAAGTTAACTGCTGCACCATTTAAGGTGGAACGGAGAAATTCGAAGGAGGAGCTGTTTAACAAACCGACTAATCCGCTTCTTAGTTTGACTCCAAAACACAAACTGCTCGTTGGTTTGTTGAGAAAACTCACGCATGTATTTCACGTAGAGTTAATCTGCTTATAACGTGCCTCCTGAAAGTTTGTGAAGAATTATTCGGAACCGGTTTTGCTTTTATTGGTGAATATCTGGACAATAAAAAGGCTTTTGAGCTCAAAGCATCGCAGCGGCAGTGATTACAGCGCTGCTAATGCTAATGCTAATCCTGAAGCGCCGCACTTACGCTAAATCCGTGTTCTCGATGACGAATTTCACATTTTCGTCCGTCAGCTCGGTGATTTTCACTGTGGGCTGGTTGGCGTACGGCATGGTGAGAGCTGGAACTCAGGACGACCCTAATAAACGATAAAAAGGTAAAGTTTGTAGCGCAGATCTTTCAGCGCCGCCTGAACATGTCGGCACACCGCCACACAGAGCCCGCCTTCGCATCCGGGTCACTGGCAGTAACTCTCTGAGGGAACGGAGGCCGAATCCCAAATGGCATCCTGCTCCCTTCGTAGTGCACTACAAAGGCCCAAACCGTCCCTATTAAAGACTTATTACACAACTAAGAGCCATTTGGGATTTATCCAAATCCCATAGTGCACCATATTACTGAGCGCTGCTGGTGACATCCTGTACAAATAAAAGTAATGCATAATTAAGTGGCCACGACTTAGCAGGGCATGGGAACGAGAACCTAATGCGTGGTCACGACTTAGTGAGGCATAGGAATGAGATAATTAAGCCTTGACCACAGCTTAATATGGCATGATCTCATTTCCACACCTTACTAAGCCATGGCTATGTGTTAGGATCTTGTTCCCATGCGGTAATATGGTGTGGCCACGCGTTATTTTTGTTCATACAGGATGTCACTGGCACTACGGAGCCCTGCTGATGACATCCTGTATAAATAAAAATAATGCATGGCCACAACTTAGCAAGGCGTGGGAATGAGATAAGTCGTGGCCACAACTTAGTAAGGCGTGGGAACAAGATCCTAATTCATGGCCACGACTTTGTAAGGCATGATGATGATGATGCCTTACAAAGTCGTGGCCATGAATTAGGATCTTGTTCCCACGCCTTACTAAGTTGTGGCCACGACTTATCTCATTCCCACACCTTATTAAGTCGTGGCCACAACTTAATTATTTCATTCCCACACCTTAATAATTTGTGGCCATGCATTAGAATCTCATTCCCAAACGTTAATAAGTCCACGCATTATTTTTATTTATATGGCATGTCACCAGCAGGGCACCGTACCAGCACAGCTCTGTATAATAGTGATGCACAACTGCAAGTCTTCTCGAGTCGACTGCAGCTCCCGACTCCTTAATTCTACCTAATTTTAACCAGGACAGCTCCAGAGCTGGTGATAAAGGGACACAGCAGAGATTAAACCGTCCTTACCCAGTTTTAAGTGGTTAGATTACAGTCATATGACGAACATTCAGTTTATTTTCAAATTCTTTTTCAGGTCTTTGTGATGTGATGAAGTTGGCTCCCCACACGTACCTCTCTGTACCTCTCCATCCTCCACGTTTTAGGAATGTTAAAAGTATTAAAGTGCACATTGCAAAAGTGAAATGTTAAATCCCAATGTGGACGACTGATGTGATTTTTCAGCGTTGTGCTCATTTTAACTGCTGGAAATGTTGTAAAACATCTTCAGATAATGGACTAAACATGGGCTGAACACCTGAATTAATATATAATACTCTACTGAACACACAAAACCATATGGTGTTCATGGCTAAATATACTTACTTACATACGAGACATAACCATTGTGAGAAACATGCTTAAAACAAATTATTGACAAAAAATGTCTAAATACTTTATTGAGACACTCAAAATCAGACAAAATGTCTAGCAAAAACATTTTCAAGTATAATATTTATTCTGCTTCTGTGTTTATACAGGGAACAAAAGTCTGGCTAATGACAGGGGGAAGATTGAATTGCCATTATATGTCTGTAAACCAGAGACGGCCCTTTTTTTGGATATTTACTGACCTGCAGAGATTTAATTGTCAAGAACAAGTGTTAGAGATCTTAGACTGTGTTAGGACCACAGGTCAGTAGATTTTACAAGGTGGAGCATCCCTGCTGTGAAAAAGGAAACAGACAGGACTGAAAGCTATGGCACAGTTACTCCATTAAAGTGACTTAAGGGCACAAAAACAACAAGAAAATGCCCCCTGGTCCAAACTGCATTCAAAATGATAGCAAATTAACACTTAATTGACCCTTACAAAGGAGCTGGTCATCACTGTCGGGTATTTGTGATGGGTTATGGCTAGAGATTGTGGAGGAAGGAGAGAATAGAGGGGGGGGGGCTTCATCGTCTCTGGTTCATCCCTGTGATGTTCTTCAGCTGTGGAAGACAGAAAGAAAAGGCCAGAACTTTTAACTTTTTAACTTATAAGTCACTCCACAACTACAATAGCAGAAAGATCAGTAAAACAGACAGTGTACAGGCCAGTAAGACTGCAGTTTAACAAGAAATCTATGGAAAGACAGTGAAAACAGCATTCGCAGAAGTTAATGCTGCCCATCCCTGAATTATACAGTGCTGTCTTTACTTCATTCTGCTTTGTCTACAACCAGCACATCTGCAGTTTTTAGGCCTAACTATTGGTCCTCTTCCACTTCCTGTCACAGACTGTTTATTTTGCTGTTTATTTCTATTCCATCATTTTAAAACACCAACTAATTAGACAATAATTTTACTGTTACAATGAAACATTTAAAGGTTGCAAGGGACAAAAAAAGCATGTATTCAAGCAGGAGTGTCAAACTCAACAACTAATAGGGCCATATTAAAAAAGCTCAACAAGTCCGTGGGCCAGAGAACGGCAATGTTTTTATTTTATTTTTAAATAACATTTTGCTATAAACCGAACTGACCATTGTCAACAGTAAAATATAGGCACTTGTAGTCGACCTTGAAATTCTACATGAACATTTGAAATAATCAAAATTTAAGTGTCCCCTAGAGCTCAGTCTTTTAAACCTACCTGTTTGCTCGAACTAGACACCTGGTATCCTGTCTTTGCTGCGAGTTCACTAATTCTTGGGCTCTGAGCTTCTGTGCGTTTATGTTGGTTGAACTGTAGCTGAAACGTGGCTAGTGTGTTTGGTGATATGACTGGTGTGGAATTGTGTAGAATTGTGTAGAACTGAGGTGAAACCGCTGTCCCATAGATTGTTGTTGGGGTCTGTAGCGCAGCGCATTGTGAGACAAGCTAATATTAACAGAAAATTAAACTGCTTTTGCGGGCCGGATAGGATTGCGTTGATCTGGCCTGTGCCTTGTATTTGACACATGGGTGTTAAAGACTTTAGTGTGTATAACAGATAACATTAACAAAACATAAATAACTGAGTATATGGAGGAAAATAAATTCCCTATTTCATTAATCTAGTTAATTGTTTTGGACACATTAAAGGGTCAATATCATGAAACCTCTCAATAAAATATGTAATGAATGAATGAATGAATTAATTAATTAAAAACATAATCTGATGAGGTATGTAAAGTTTCAACATGTAGTTCAGTCCACACTGTCGATATATGGAAACTAAGCTTTAAAAACAGATGTCATACATCAACCTATTCAGCCTATGGCAGTTTAGCTCCACCCACTCACAGTTAAGTTATAAAGCGTGTTTCAACCCAGAATGCTTTTTGAATGAGACACAATTCAGGGCAGCCAATCTGAACAGAGCTTATTTACATATATTAGTGTTAAAGGCACAGTAAAAAAAAAGCCTGTTTAATTCTGAGGCATATAGAGGTGGAAAATGGTCATGTAAAAAATGAATCCATCTATCCATCCATTTATCTACGTATCTACCTCCTGCTCTCTTTCAATAGTCTGCACATACAAGGTGATCTCATATCTTTCGGTTTTTGGTTGGCTAACTCGTTTAAACTCCTTTAGCAGCCTGTGACCTCCTGTCTAAGTGGGGGAGGCCAGTCACTAAACCTTTTTTTTCTCCCGCAAAATCCAATATATTATTTATATCCTTATATTATTTTTTACAGTACAGACCAGTTATCTTCATGACCTATTAACAAATTTAAAAAAGCAGTGAAAAAACTGCGTTTTCTGTAAGCAAAAAGAGTTTTTAGTGTTTTCAATGTATGAAGGACGACAACATCTGAGCAATCTAGTTCAGCATCATCTACAGCTGTAACAATTTTGCATTATAAAACTAATCATAAGGAAATTCTGCCCCAATTTCAAATATTTCTTTTGATACTAAAAAGTACAAATATTAATGCTCTATTGAAAGTAAGAAAAACTAAAATGAAACCCCAATAAATAAATAATCAATCAGTCAATTTAATAAAACTTTTTAAAACAACAAAACCTCAGCACAGACTGATTTCATGAAACAGTGTTCCTTCATTTGCAGGCTGTATATTCAACTGAAAGAGCACTAACCGTAACTGCAGCTCCCATCAGCCCCTGAACTACAGCCTCTCCAGTCGCTTGCACCTACAAATAAACACCATTCAGGATGACAAGAGCAGCCCAACTGGAAATCTGAAGTCACCATAGTGTGCCATAAATCCATTAAACCTTTAGTTCTCTGTACCTGTTTGGCAGTGTTGGCCATGTTGACCACATCCCCGATACGGTTGTCAAGGAAGGCCCAGGTCTCTTCAAAGTCAGGGGAGGAGTCCTGCACCATCACCAGCTCCGTGGTGTTGTAGATGCCGGTTAGCGCTGCTCTGCGGGTGTACCAGCTCATCTGAACCACAGCCAGCACATACAACAAAAGAACAAAGGTGCAGTGCTTTAACACAGAGAAGCAAAGGAGCAGCTGGATGTTTAAGAGAAGACAAAATAATGACATTTGTTTTTTAAATTCATCATGAACTTCCTAAAGGGTTAGTCCGGAATACTCTAATGCAGAATGGAGGAGTCACTCACATCTGTGGAGCGATCTCCTGCGTAGTACCAAATGTCATCCACCAGCGCGGACAGGTGCTTCAGACTTTCCGGGATGTTGTGAGGAAGCAGCAGTAAACTCATCGCCTGCAGAGTCAGATATTAAGGACAGTCATAAATGTTTTGGACCAGATATATTTTTGTTTGTTTGTTTCCATGGTAATAAACTGTGTCAGTCATTTTCTGTACCTATTCAGATAAAACATTTAGAGCTGGTTTCCCAGATCCAGATTACGACGGCATTTTAGGGCCACTGTTAATAAAAATAAAAACAGTTGACTCTGAGAATAAAGTTGTAATATTTCAAGAAAAAAGACGTAAAATTTCAAGAATAAAGTCGTAATATTTCGAGAAAAAAATAACAGAATTACGACATTAAAGTGGCATTAATACCAGGAAAAAAGCAATATTGTGGCCAAATGCTTTGCAAAGGGAAGGCAGCACCTCCTCGTGTTAAATGAGGGGCGTTGAGTTGGTGGATTTATACTTTCATATTGATTTCACCCATAAAGAAACACTCAGTCTCCCTGTCTCTCCTGCACATCAGCACCAGCCTGTTATAGTATAAGAAACGGCTAAAATGGCTGAGCTGGAAGCTGTTTATTTAGAGTAAAGAGCCAGACGGACTCAGAGGAAACTGTCTGTCTGTTTTGTTGAAGGAGAATCGCAGGCAGGGTCATCTACACGGCTATCAGTATCTACATCTCCACGCCATTCAAAGAGGGCATGAAGTTCCACAGACAGTGAGAATGATAATCAAAATGATCGATCCACAGACGGGAGTATGGCAAGCAAGACCCCAACGCGTTATGGCAGCCCATCTACAGTTAGTCCACTTTATCCTCAAAATATTGCGCCTTTTTTTCTAGAAACATTACGCATTTTTTTCTCAAAATACTACAACTTTTTTCTCAAATTCTACTATTTTTACTTTTATTAACAGTGGCCCTAAAACGCCGTCTTACCAGATTAATCCTAAGGCTAATTCTAAAGTATTTCCAAAGGTGGTTCACCACTGGCACTACAAGTCTAAGACTAGACTTAATCCATAGAGGGGAAACCATGTATAAACTTCAGAGAGAGTGCTTTGCTCGCCGTTAGCACCTGTGGCCATGTGTCGATATATGGAATCAACATCCTCAGTCGGGTCTCCACCGCATGTCTAAGGAAATCGGCTGTTTTCTTCTTTCTGGAACAGACAGGATTCATAAATAACTCGGATTACTCTATGAATCTACATGTACATCAGTAAAGACGATTCTGTGAATGCACTTACATGGGCCATCAAATCAGACTTCATATTTGACATACGCTATATTACAAAAGTATTGGGACCTCTTAATCACTGAATTCAGGCGTTTTATTCAGTCTCATTGCCACAGGCGTAAAAAATCAAGCAGCTAGCCATGCGGCCTTTACAAACATTTGTGAGAATGGGTCGCTCAAAAGGGCTCACTAAATTTGAGTGTGGTACTGTATTAGGATGCCAGCATTACAACAAGTCAGTTCGTGAAATTTCGTCCCTTCTAGATATTCCACGATCAGCTGTGAGTGGTATTATTGAAAAGTGGAAGCGTTTAGGAACCACAGCATCTCAGCCACAAAGTGTCAAAACATGTAAAGTTACAGAGCGAATCACCATCAGAATCTCTGCTGACTCGATAACTGTAGAGTTCCAAACCACCTCTGGCATCAACATCAGCACAAAAACCATGTGCCAAGAGCTGCATGGCAGGGTTTCCATGGCCGAGCAGCTGCATGCAAGCCTTACATCATCAAGCACAATGCCAAGTATCAGAAGGAGTGGTGTAAAGCGCCGCCACTGGACTCTGGAGCAGTGGAAACGCATTCTGTGGACTGACGAATCACACTTCTTTATCTGACAGTCTGATGGACGAGTCTGGGTTTGGTGAAAAGCAGGAGAACATTACCTGCCTTACTGCATTGCACCAACTGTAGAGTTTGGTGGAGGAGGGATGATGATATGGGGTTGTTTTTCAGGGGTTGGTCTAGAACCCTTAGTTCCAGTGAAGGGAAATCTTAATGCTTCAGCATACATTTTGGACAATTGTACACTTCCAACTTTGTGGGAACAGTTTGGGGAAGAACCTTTTCTGTTCCAGCATGACTGAGCCCCAGTGCACAAAGCAGCTCCATAAGGCCTGGCTGGGTGAGTTTGGTGTGGAAGAACCTGACTGGCCCCCACAGAGCCCTGACCTTAATCCCATTGAACACCTCAGATTTAAATCATTACCATCTAAACTTATGTCAGTGCTTTAGTTATCCAGGATCAAACATGTTTTGTGGTGAGCAGAGCTGTTATCATGCTAGATAAGAAAACGCTAACCAACTTCTCTCTTCTAGTTTAACATTTACCCGTTGTTAGTTAAACGGCTTGACATTTATTGAATTATGGCTTAAATTCACGCACTGCCTCCATTTATCTGGTGACCATATCAGCAAACTGATCATTCTGATTATTTCCAATGTTGACATAATGCAGGACGAGACAGCACAAAAGCGACATGCTTGTACGTCACCTACGACACTGAACTTCACCGTAAGGTAAAATTCCAGATGAGGTGTTGGTGACCACTGCTTTAGGGCATAATCAGGGGTACTCACTCTGCTTGGCCAAGCTGGACCTGATTATGCTCTTCTGCCAGAATCTCCGCAAGCTGAACATTGCACTGGCCGACGAAATGCAGCACTAAGTCTCCTGCACCGTTATTGAACATTCCTGCAGAAGCAGCCGACAGGCCGAGGGTCTAGAACGCAGCAAAATAAAAAAAAGTTACATGGCAAACGTCTTTAAACCAGTCATACTCGTATTATACTCATAACCAGTTCGGCTCACCTCTGCTCCAGCTGCAATGGCTTCCACAGTCCAACCATGCTGAGGGACGAACTCGAGCGCAGCAGTGAGGATGCGAGCTTGGAGCTGGTCCTCAGTCTCGTAATCTTCTGCCTGTTCACCGCTTTGATCCTGATAACTGAACAATAACAGGCACAAGCACATCATGATTAACCCTTAGAACCCTAAAATTTTTTTTTGGTTATTTTGGGTGAATTACAATTGCAATTATAGAGTATTTACATGTGACAGTCACACATGCCATATGTTATTTTCAGGTGACCCTGAGCTACTCAGATATGCCACTGTTTGACACGTATATGCTAATAGACATTTGATATCTTTATAAATTTGGGTCATTTTTGATCAAAAATTAACCTAGCGCCTGCAAAATTTTGCATTTTTTGCATATAGAGATCTTGAAAACAAGCGCAGTTGTAGTTATCTTTTCAGAAATTATCAGTCTGTAGTGTCTGTGAGCTGAAAGTGCAAGAATTTTGATAGTGATTCATTCTTTTAGTTATTATTAGTAAAAAATAAACAATTAGCATAAGCCGGACATGTTTTTTATTGATTTTCTGTCCTCCTGGATTCATGCGGAGTCCTAAAACTCTGATACACAGCAAGACAGACTTTATTTTTAATTACAAATTGAGTTGCATATTTAATATCAGATATTTTTAGTACTCAAAAACAATGTAAACTGAAAGACAGAGCTAAATATTATTCATTCTATAAAAATATTTGTCACTGTGTTGAACGGGACTCATTGTGTTGAATGGGACACGTTTTTCCTTTTTCATTGATACTAAAGTCACAGCTCGATTACGTCACACTAACTAGTTAGGGGCGGGTCTGCTGAATGTCCTGATATGTGTATCATGTCTGTAGCTTAAAATGTTCTGAAGTTATGAAGACTAGAACTGACCTATTGTCTCCGGGTCCTAAAGGTTAAAAGTAAACCTATATATATATATATATATATATATATATATATATATGTTCATATATGTGAATCACACCAATCTAATAGTGAGCTTGTGATCAGAGAACTATGGACAAATCAACAAGCAGCGAACTAACAAAAGAACAGCAAAGTGGAGCTGCAGTTCCCCTTGAGACCCTCCAATGTTACAAATATCCGTGAGCTGTACGAACGAGAGGGTAAAAGTGTGGAGGAGTTTGCTATTTACAGCATATATGAGATATTTTACATATTATATATATATATATCCTCATTGGTTGGAACATGGAGCCACTGTTTATATCACCCCCACAGTTCCTGGAGTGTACTGCCATCTGTCAGAATAACTGTATATAATAATAATACTAACAATAATAATAATTCCCTTTAATTTCCACTTGGACATTTTAGTGCCGTTCACAGTGTGGTAATAATTCAGTTTTCTGGACAAATGGTTAAAATTCATTAGGGTTGATGTTACATAAACCTAGATTTGACCATCACTCATCACTCAAGTGCATCTAAACCTTTGCAGCCTCTTGACATGGTCAAGTTTTACCCTTAAAACTGACTCCTCTTCTCCTCCAGCATTCCTAAACACAGTTTTAAACTGGAACACCACGGCACAAACTGCAAACCTGAGAGAATTTATCACGCCACATTTCGTAATGTCTGTACTGACTGTCAGTTTAGTATAAACATTCAGTTCTACTCCTAAATAATAAGCTAAAGTTTACACAGAAAACATCCCTGAGCATATCTGTCGGTAAATGACAAGGAGATGAAATTAAAATCAACCAGTCAGTCTTTATTTGTGTTAAATGTCTCAGCATGCAGAGCCACAGAGTTTAGGCTCCCTAAACTGGAGCGAAGCTCCGTCCTCCATTAACTGATGGCCGTCCAGGGGGCGCTCTCATCCCTGGCAGCAGAGGAGGGCATCACCACAGGACTTTATTTATTTAAAGGTTTATAGGGTGAACTACTTTTTTGCCAGACGCAATGCAACTGAGTATTCAACCAAAGATTTAATTGTGCTGTTCTTACCGGTCATATACCAATATTTACCAGAACCCTAATAATAATAATAATAATAATAATAATAATAATTCTAACTTAATTTATAAGGCACTTTTAATAACATGAACATTAAAGAGTGCTTTTGTTTTTAAGTATTCACCAGCCGTTCTTAAGAAAAAAAATTCTTTCTAAAACCCACTTACGAAGTTTTTACGAAGATTCTGACATTCGCCGGTGTTTTCTTGTTTGGGGTTTGTTATTAGGCAAGAACAGAATCTACACACACTCGAGAAAACAAAGGTGAGAACAGCTCTGCGGTTTAAGAGCACGTCATTAATGTGACGTAGACTTTTTCTTAGGATCCTTTTTAAGACCACATTTAAGAACAAACTCAGGAAGATATTGGAGAATGAGGCTCACTGTCGACAAGTCTGTTGGTTAATCACTGCAGCCCTACGTTGTAGTCAAATAACGTGAGACATGAAAGGCAAACCTGACTCGAGATCATCATTCTAACAGAAATGTGATATATTTATGGTATTCCGACCTGGTGTTAGGCCGGGGGTCCTCATGCTGAGTGCCGGGGTCAGAAGCAGAAGCTTGCTCTGTGGAGAACGTCGATGATCCCTCTCGAGACTCCTGAGCCTGGTAGTGCTCATGGTGGGACGGAGGTGGTACAGTCTGGTCACTTTTGGAGTCGTCGGCAAGCCGCAGCAGGGCAGCACGATGAAAGCCACGTCTCAAACCGCTGTACTGGGAAGCGGGGCGTGTCTTAACCACTACTGCTGGGAAGGATTACACGGAAAGCAATTACACAGATTACAGAGTGCATTACGCCTTCACACCTGATGGAATAATAAAGTTTAAAGGTCAGAAAAACACGTCATCAAAACAACCGCAGTGCAGCAAATTTAAAGGGGGAATTCCACAGATTTTTCAAGACTTCCACAAAATTCAGCTACTGAGATATAAACAGAGCAATTCAGAGTGGTTTGATGTGAAATGGTTCACTGCAAAGGACTCAGATTTCTTTGCAGTGGTGGTGACAGGAACCGGGGTCACCATGTCTACTTTGCAAACAGAGCCATTTTATTTACTCTACAAAACACACAAGTGAACCTACAGGTGAGTTTTTACTGTGTAACGTTGAAGGTGGTAAAATAGTGAATAAAATCAGAAAGAATAATTCTTTCTGCACTATTTTGACTCACAACGCCCTGCATGAATCTATCTGCCACAAATAGATTTGAAAAATAATACACGTTAGGCCAAAACCTTATCTGAAAACAGGCAGCGTGCTCTGACTTTGCATGTTTCTCTTCAATGGAGCGTTTCACACTGAACCAACTTCATCTTCATTATGCACAATTCCCCTTTATCATGGAGATTAATGATTTCTATTATTATTTATTCAGGTGAGAATTAACGAACTGCAGACCTGATACTGAGAGTTTCAAAAGTATTTCACGTTATTAAATATCAATATCCCAGCATTACATGATGGCGTTTAATGTATATCCTCCAAAACTGTGAAACTCCCTCCCACAAGACGTACAACAAGCATTATCAGTTAGCAATTTTAAAAAGCAACTTTTTACTGATCTCTGGTTTTATATAGTTTTATTCGTCCTATAGAGGTTTCTAGTTTATTTGTTGTCTTTATTTAATTTCATTATTTTATGTGACCTTTTTTTTGGATATTCTGAATTTTCACTTTTAGAATTAGTTTTTTACTTCTATCCCTTTTACTCAATGTTTTTATTTTCTTAAATATTGTCTCCTTACATTTTATGTGAAGCACTTTAAGTTGCACTTCAATGTAAGAAATATATATATATATATATATATCACTGCTGTCGGACCAGAACCTCGTATCTCCATTTTGTCATTTTTCAGTGTTTGACATAATTTAAAAATGCCTACTATACTTCATATTGTGTGTGAATTTCAAGATGAATGGACCAATAGAAACAGCTTTTTTCTTTCTCCTGTAAAGTTACCATTTTGGAGATATAAGGTTTTGGTCCGACAGCAGCGAGACATATTTTTTATGTCAACATTTACCATTTATGTCAGAGACATAAATGAACAGAGAACATCAATCGCCACTTACTATCGAATACAAAGACAGATTAAAACAAGACAAGAAGGAAAAATAAAAAAAGAAACAACTGTGTTACACTAAAGAGGAATCCACAATTTTTCAACAATGTATGCAGACAATGATTGACAGAGGCTTTCAACATTCATATTTGGGACGTATTTCTATATCGTTGCTGTCCAATGAAAAACAAATGTCTCCGAAATAGTAACTTTACAGGAGAGGGCAAAAACCTTCTTTACTTTCAATGTAAGTCAATAGAAAAAGGTTTTATTCTAAGCAATTTTCGGCCATTTCTATTGGTCCAATCATCATGAGATTTTCACACAATGTAAAGAACAGCTGCTGAGCTCAAATGATGCAGAAAAGTAAAAATCGCAAAAAACTGAGATACGTTTTTCATTGGATAGCGACGATACAAATATATGCATACTGAAATTCTGGAATAATACTTAAGAGGTAACCAATCATGAATAATATTCTAGAATTTTATTGTAAATGACAAGAGAAGAATAAACGTTCTAGTGATTTTACACCTGCAGTGCAAAAAGTACGAAGATCCAGATCAAAATGAAACATCTGCAAAAAGACACTCACTGGATATGCAGATGTCAATATCATAAAATGGGCTTCTTTAGCTTTAGGTGTTATAGGATAAGACCAGTAATAAGAAAAGGCCTTCTTTAATAGTGCGATACTCCACTTATAATCCTCTGCTTGTAATTCTACACTGCAATCACCAAATATCTTACTATTTATAAGCTTACAGATTTATTCTCCATTTTCTTATCAGAAGGGTGTAAATCATGTAGAGTGCAGGTAATGAACGTGGTCTGTTGTAATGGCTCTGTAATTTCTGCTTAAATGCATAAAAGGCAGAAGCAAACTATTACAGTCCAAACTATCAGTCACAAAAATGATATTTTTGGAAAAACATTCTGCTATAAATACACATTTAATGCTACTTAAAAATACCTTGTTATTCAATAGTGTAGACTTCTGTGGTGGAAAGTTTTACTAAATAATAATGACTGTATAAGTTTGATAACTTAATCGGGATTTTTTGTTATTTCAAAGTCTCATCTCAAGATAAAGTCAAACCCTGGACGCAGGATATAAGACAACCAACAGATTATTATTATTATTATTATTATTATTATTATTATTATCATAAAGCAAATCTCTGGCGGTTTCCAGCCACCAAACCTCTCAAAAAAAAGCTTAGGAAAGTTATAAATGGTCAGTAACCGGTGCAATAACAGCACATTTACTTTAAGAGGTAATTTAAATGTCCTCTTCTACGGTTTTGTTTACACTCCTGCTCCTGTTTCTGTCCTTCATGATCACCTTGCCCGTCTCAGATGACACATACATCGGGTTTTGCACGCTAAAAAGACCCAAAGTCTTGTCAGAAACGCGAAAAAAGAGGCGTGCAAAACACATAAATTAGCCATGATCCAGACTCACTGTGCCCGGCTTACCGCTGCCGAGCCCCCGCAGGCTCCGCACGGCCCGCAGGCTCCTGATCAGCGCCGCCATGTTACAGCGGAGCGGCCATCAGCATGCTAATGTTAGCCACGGAGTGCACGGCGCGTCACCGCGGCGCGACAGTTTCACCACGTCCCATTCAGGATAATGAGCCCTATACCCTACACCCTAGACCACTGCCCCTGCTCACTACGCCCTAGACCACTCCCCCTGCTCACCACTCCCTAGACCACTCCTCCTGCTCACTACACCCTAGACCACTCCCCCTGCTCACTACACCCTAGATCACTCTCCCTGCTCACTACTCCCTAGACCACTCCCCCTGCTCACTACACCCTAGACCACTCCTCCTGCTCACTACACCCTAGACCACTCCTCCTGCTCACTACACCCTAGATCACTCTCCCTGCTCACTACTCCCTAGACTACTCCCCCTGCTCACTACTCCCTAGATCACTCCCCCTGCTCACTACTCCCTAGACCACTGCCCCTGCTCGCTACACCCTAGATCACTCTCTCTGCTCGCTACACCCTAGACCACTCCTCCTGCTCACTACTCCCTAGATCACTCCCCCTGCTCACTACTCCCTAGACCACTGCCCATGCTCTCTACACCCTAGATCACTCTCCCTGCTCGCTACACCCTAGACCACTCCTCCTGCTCACTACACACTAGACCACTCCTCCTGCTCACTACTCCCTAGACTACTCCCCCTGCTCTCTACACACTAGACCACTCCTCCTGCTCACTACTCCCTAGACTACTCCCCCTGCTCTCTACACACTAGACCACTCCTCCTGCTCACTACGCCCTAGACCACTCCCCCTGCTCACTACACCCTAGACCACTCCTCCTGCTCACTACACCCTAGGACACTCCTCCTGCTCACTACACCCTAGATCACTCTTCCTGCTCACTACTCTTAATATTTGGGC